CGCTCGGGTGCTGGCGGGCGTCCCGGCCGATGGGGCTGCCGGGGTCCTGCCCCACTTTACGCGGCGCCGGCTTGAGCCGCGCTCGGCTGTGCAGGTGGAGAGAGCTCAGCTTTGGAGTCCGACAGCAGATTCCCCGAGATCGTAGTGTAGCGTGTGTGGTCCTTACCGTGTACCCCGCTCTGTTAACCGGTGAGAAATTGCTGTTGAGGGTTGAACGCATCGAGAATGAACTAACACCAAACTAACAGCTCTTGCAAGACTCTCGGATACTTACTGAGTAAGCAAATGGCTGAATGAGTTTATTTCCTGTAGCTTATCTGGACGCTATAAAAAAGCCCCAATTGCTTCTGCTTCTAACTTTCGGAAGTAGTTCTCTGACTAGCATTAAGCACTTTATATTGAATTAATTCTTACTGTGAAACAGGAGTAAAATGACGTAAGCCACCCCAAATCACTCACTGCACAAGTGAAAGTAATACTTACATGGAACTCATTGAGGAAAAAAGTGAAGCTCTCTGAGTGGCTGCTGAGGGCTTGCTTTCGTTCCAGGTGGTATCTAGGTTGACCGTCCCATTTCAGGGGCACAGCTGCAGTAATAAATGCCAGATTTCTTGTTTCTGTGACCCTACTGTCTAAAATCAAGATGTAGGGGCTGGGGATTTAGCTCAGCTGCACAGCGCCTGCCTGGCAAGCGCGAGGTCGTGAGTTCGATTCCCGGTACCGGAACCCCGCCCCCCCCCCCAAAAAAAATCAAGATGTAGTGCTGGTCAGCAACTATTCTAATACAAGTGTTCAGGGTACGTGGACTGTGTTGTCTTGTTACACGTTTTTTGTTTCCTCAGCTTTGACTTACACAGTGTGTATCGCATGATGTTTCATTTGCCAGTTCAGTTTTTTGGCACACCTGTTATCAGCCTGAACAGTGCTAACTACACCTGTAACATGATTTATGATAAACCTAATCAGGGACTATCCCATCAGAAAAGAGACCTGAGAATTCTCCGAATCTTCATAGAAGCCTCTTTTTCAAAGAGATAACCGAGGCCTTTACTATGAATCGAGCAACATGTTTGATTGCAAAGATGACCAAGATGTGTTCCCTTGTCTTCAGTGCATTAACTCTAATGAGAGAAACAAAAGTCTCCCTATAAGTGTTACAGGCACACAAAAGAGACAGAAAAGATTGGACAATGCTTTTGACTGAAGTGAACTGAGAGCTGAATCTTGAAGGATAAGTAGAAGCTAAGTGAGGACGGTTGCCTTTCATGTGGAGAGAGGAAGCAGCAGATATAGGAGCACCAACTGGGGAGACGAGGGGAAGCTCTTCAAATGAAGTCGGTTTAGTCAGACTGGTGGGCAGAGTTAGAACATGAAGTTACTGAGAGGACACTCCACAGAACTCAAGTCCTCTTCCATTGGCTGTGCTTAGAGTTTACGGTAGTAAAATCATACTCTTACTTGGAAAGAGAAAGAACTATAACTTCTCACTGGAATCTATACATTGTCTAATGTGCTGTTGTTCTAGTCATATTGTTCGATGCATTAGTCAGCTTCCCTTTACTATAACAAAACACCTGAGATAATTTATCAAGAGAAAAGATTCTGAAGGTTCTACTCTAAGATAAGTGGCCCCAGTTCCTTTTGGCCCCTGATGAGGTAGTGCATCATGGCAAGAGCACCCGGTGGCACAAACCTGTCACCTCCTGAGCCAGGCAGTAGGAGAGAAGGGTCCCCAGTCCCATTTCAGGGGCACAGCTGCAGTGACATACAGACTTCCCACTAGGCCCCAGGTCCTGAAGTTCAGCCAACTCCCAGTGACGGCATGCTGGGTACAAATCTTTAATACTGTTACTGTAGGGGCTGGGGATTTAGCTCAGCGGCAAAAGCGCCTGCCTGGCAAGCGCAAGGTCATGAGTTTGGTTCCCGGTACCGGAGGGGAGAAAAAAAAAATACTGTTACTGTATACAAAACCAGACTGATAGGAAAAACTCCCAGCTCAAACTAACTGCCTCTCTCATTTATTTCTTCACTCATTTAGCCTTTACTGTTGACATTTTCCCCAATTCTAACTAGTTCACATGCTAAAGGCACCCCAGCAGGGAGTCTGGTTGCCAGAGATAAGATAGGAAGCAAGCCTGTAATGCAGTGCAAGTATAGAATGCATGTATTCACTGTGTTCAAAAATCTACATTAAATATTTTGTCCCTGGAAGTAAATTACAGCTAAAATTTGTATTTGCAAAACTTGTCATCTTGGAGCTAGGTAACTGGCTTTTTTCTAGCTAACCTTCAAGGTCATTTCTGTGGTTTCCACATTTCTGCATAGGATGGAACACATAAGTGTTGAGCAAGTCCTGTTTGCATAGTAACTATTAGCTAACAGACTGAACTGAAACACCATTTCACTGTAACTGGGAGGTAGGAATCATTTTAATTTAACAAGCATTTATTGAAATAAAAGGATAAAATGGAGGGAGTCTAACCTGAGACCAAAAGCCATAATCATTCTAGTCCAGCTTATTTCACTTTAAGCCACTTTGATGTCTAGAAATTGGATTTATAAGAGATAAAGCAAATAGGTTTCTTGATAAAACCATTTACTGTTGCAATTCTTTCATTAATGTGTTTTCCTGGTACATTTAAAATATTGATAAACATGGGGCTGGGAATTTAGCTTAGAGGCAAAGCACCTGCCTGGCAAGTGCAAGGTTGTGAGTTCGATTCCTGGTACCAGAAGAAAAACAAAAAAACAAACAAACAAAAAATAAAATATTGATTAAACAAGTAATTTGCATAGAGCCCATTTAATAACATGTCAGTTTTTATGAATGAGGGGGCACCTTTTTGTGGACTGTAGGCTTTTCAGTGATCCATCAAACAGAAGCTATGCTGAGCTCTGCACCATAACTAAGTGTTACTATTTTCTGAAGCAAACTTTTTTTTAACAGCTAATATTGAAGTTGTTGATTCTATACTATTTAAAAGATTAAAGCATTACATTTTATCTGACTAGTATTTTTAAACTTTACTAGTCAAAAGGATATCTAGAGAGAAGCAACTTTGTATTTCATTGTCCTGAAACATAGTATCTGCTTTTGGAACTTGAAGGTTATGGACATTATAATGACTTGAGTTAGGTGTTTGCTTTGGTTGGACTGAAACAGCTGTGTTTGGGTCGTTCCTGCAGTGTGTTGTCGGTGCATTTCAGAACACTTCTCTTCTGATGACAAACGCATCACCTGTGAAGTAGCCTTGAGAAAGAAAAAAAATCTTACCGGAATCTAACCAAGCCTCATTCGATTCAGCCACAATTTGCGTAAGAGGCAAAGGGACGCTTTTACTGACACCTTAGTAAAATTTATTCCTTACAGAAAAATGACCCATTTTCATTACAAGTTGTAACGAAGAATGAGATTACAAGGGTTGACACATAGCAGCCACCTACAATATGTAGACCTTACCTGAATCTTGATCTCACAAATTGTAAAATACATGACATTTTCAAAAATAAGAATACTGTAAGTTGCTATTGGATGTTACAGAATTTTTATTTACATTGGTAATTACTGAAATTGAGTTACGATTACTTAGGATTAATGACACTGGATTCTCTACTTTTCAACGTTTAAATATTTTTTTAAAAAATTAAAATATACTTGCTTTATCAGACCAAAGGGAAAGTGAAGATGTTCTATTTTGTCTTTCAAAGAAGAAACAAATGAAAATAATTTGAATATAAATTGTCAGTTAATAATCACATGACATATAGTATATTGGTAGCAGAATCAGCTTTACCCAAGTATGTTAATTATATCAAATCATCTATGCATAATAATGAAATTTTGGGATGGGCCGGATTGTTTAATTTGAGGGAACAAAATGTTAAGATTCATGATGATGTTACTACTCTGGTTTAGAGTAGAGAATATACTTTCCAGGCTCATTTTCCTTCGGAAGTGAACGGTAAGGTCCCCAAAGCACCCTACAGCCTTCCTATTACAGTGGTTCCACAAACTGTCGATATTATGGTACTAAATAGTAAGTAAGTTGAGTAGGAGATTAGATTACAGAGGGAACCTGGTGTTTACATATTCCTGATGTTATTTTGGTTTTTCCCCCCAGGCAGAAGCTGAGGAAGATTGTCATTCTGATACTGCCAGAGCAGGAGATGATGATGAGAATGAACGTCCTGCTGAAACAGACCTGCAGGCTTGTATTTCAATTCTTACTCCTCTCAGTCCCATATGTAAACAGCAATCGCTGTAATTATAGACTTGCCTGTTGTTTGCACTGAGTTTTAACTATATTGCCTTGTAGAGTACTTAAATTATGTAACGGATGTTTCCATAAAAAAAAAATCAGTAACTGATACATGTATCAGTAATTCAGTACATGAACTTTTCAAAATAAGGCTTAAAACTCATAGCCTATAGCAGATGGAGGCTGGGGATATAGCTCAGCAGCACAGCACCTACCTGGCAAATGCAAAGTCATGAGTTTGATCCCCGCTACCACAAAAAAAGAAAAAGAAAATAGATTGACAGTTTTGACCCCTTAAAAATATAGCTCTTTATGTAACAAAGGCATCAAAAAACTTTTTATTTATTTATTTACTGTCTTTTTCGGATAGGATCTCACCGTGCAATTCAGGCTGGTCTTGAACTCACTTTGTAGCCCAGGCTGGACTCAAACTCGAAGTGATCCTTCTGCCTCAGCCTCCCAAGTGCTGGGGTTATAGGCGCATACCACCACCACGCCTGGCTGAAAAAAAAATTTTTTAAGTAGCTAAAACAATTGTTTACCACAAATGAGTAGAGAACTGCTAGAGAGTGTTTTAGTTACTTTTCTTATTGCTGAGATGAAATTCCTAATACCCTCAGGTAAAAAGAGGAAAGGTTTATTTCAGCACAGGTTGTTTCACTCTACAGTCAGCTGACTCCAAGGCAGGCCAGCGTGGCAGAGAGCATTGCAGAGGAAAAACAATGCAAGGTGTGGCAGGCAGAAGGCAGGAAGGCAGCAAAGCAGCAGACAGCAGCAGCCTGCTGTCTGTCTTTCCCTTTTATTCCAATCTGGCTGCAATCCACACCCAGAACAGTGCTAGCCAGTCAGTGGACTGATCCATTTAACACACCTTTAATCCACATTCTCACACCCTAGATCCAGCCAGCTCCGGAGAGCTCCACCCATGGGTGCCTGAGGCTTTGGGGAGGCATGTGGATGCAAGGCATAACTGATAGCCTCAGTATGTAGATCACTCTTATAAATTAGAAGGACATAGGATAGAAAGATGTGGACAGTAAATAAAATATGAATGATTTAATATTTGATGGGAAAGTTAGTGTTCATAATAATGTAATCCCAGCACTTGGGAGGCTGAAGCAGGAGGATCACCATGAGTTCAGGGCCACCCTCGGCTACATAGTGAGGTTGAAGCCAGCCTGAACTACAAAGTGAGACCCTGTCTCAGAAAACAAAAACGATGCAGTCGCTTTGGTGAGTAATGTCCATTGCTCTCTGGGTGTGAGAACACTAGTGCAGTACACACAGAAGTGTAAATTGCCACAACTTTTCGGGCGGGGGGGGCACATTGGCAGTATGGTTTCAAAATTTAAAATACACATTCCTTTTCATAAAGCAGTTCTACTTTTAGGAAATTAACCTGAATGGAATAATGGAGAAAATGAGTAAATAAATTTGCATGCACAGAGATGTGCACTGTAGCATTCTTTGTGTGAAAAAGTGTCCTACAATCTGCATGCCCATTCCTTGTGTTAAGTAATGCTGTGTTCATACAGTAAAATACACTGCAGATGAGGTAAATCTTTATGCATTGAGATGGGGGAAATTCAATGTGATGAGTTACGTGAATTAATTATTCAATTTATATGCTTTTTAAAAAATCTATATGCTTTATAGTATGTTTATTACATTGTGTTGTTCAGTAGACCTTGAATACTACTAAAGATTTTATAGATCATAGGTGTGTGTAACAGGGTAAGCATAAGTGTGGGAACCAAGGCAGTGGTTTAGAGGAAAACTATT